ATGGAAACATGTAGCAGACTGATAGTGACCAGATGGGATGGTCACTTTTTTAAAAGGAAAGAAGGAGAAGGTACTAAACAAAGAACGTGTATGAATGACTCATGGACATGGACAACAGAGTAGGAATTGACTGTGGGAGAGGGGAGCAGGGTGGGATGGGTGGAGGAGGGCAAAGGTAGAAAAATTAAGACAACTGTAATAGAATAAACATGATTTAAAAATTAAAAATTAAAAAATAAACAAATGAGGCTAGCATAAGGGACCTTTGGGACAACATCAAGCATACCAACGTTTGAATTATAGGGTTCCTAGCCCTGACTCGTGTGGTTCAGTTGTTTGGGCATCATCTCACAAAGTGAAAGGTCACCACTTCAATTCCTGGTCAGGGCATATGCCTGGATTGCAGGTTCAGTTCCTGGTTGGGGCGTGTTTGAAAGAGAACCAATTGATATTTCTCTCTCACATGATGTGTCCCTCTCTCTCTTTCTCCCTCCCTTCCTCTCTCTCTAAAAATAAGTAAATAAAATCTTTTTTAAAAAATCACAAGGGCCCTAGAAGAAGAAAGAGAGAAAGGGACAAAAACCTATTTGAAGAAATAATGGCTGAAAACTTCCCTAAACTGGTTGGGGAAAAAGACATCCAAGTCCATAAAGCACAGAGAGTTCCAAACAAGATGAATCCAAAGAGACCCACACCAAGACACACTGTAATTAAATTGTTAAAAGTTAAAGATAAAGACAGAACCTTAAAAGTGGCAAGAGAAAAACAACTAGTTACAAATGTATATATAAGGTATACATACAAGGGATTGCCCATAAGAATATCAGTTGATTTTTCAACAGAAACTTCACAGGCCAGAAGAGAGTAGCATGACACTTTTAACATGATTAAAGAGAACAATCAACAACCAAGAATACTTTACTCTGCAAGGTTATCATTCAGAACTGAAGGAGAGATCAAGATTTTCCCAGACAAGCAAAAACTAAGACAGTTTATCATCACTAAACCAACATTACAAAATGTTAAAGGGAATTCTTTCCATGGAAAAGAAAAGTCCAAAACTATAAATAAGAAAATATATGAAAAAAATAATGTCACTAGTAAAGGCAAACGTATAATAAAGGCAGAAGACCAACTGTTTATAAATCTAGTGTGAAAACAATTAAAATTGCAATAAGTACATACCTATCAGTAATTACTTTAAATGTAAATGGATTAAGTACTCCATTCAGAAGATGACTGAATGGATAAGAAAACAAAATCCTTACATATGCTGCCTATATGAGACTCATATCAGGTGGGAAGACACACAGAGACAAAGTAGAGATATGGAAAAATTATTTCATGAAAGTGAAAATTTTTTAAAAAGCTGGGATAACAATACTTACATCAGATAAAATAGACTTTAAAACAACAGCTATGACAAAGACAAAAAGGACCCTGTAATTTCACTTCTGAGCACTTATCTGAAGAAAAATAAAACCCTAATTTGAAAAGACATATGCATCCCTATATTCACTGCAGCATTTTTTTCTTTACAAAATGCTATGATATGGAAGCAACCTAGGTGAGCACCATTCACCAATACATTAATGTATAAAGAAGAATTGGATGTGTATATGTATAAGAATATTACTCAGCCATGAAAAGGAATGAAATCTTGCCGTTGCAACAATATGGATAGGCCTAGAGGATATTATGTTATGTGAAATGTCATTTCACTTATATGTGGAATCTAAAAAACTAAGATGCACAAACAAAACAAACAGAATCATAGATACAGGAAAACTGATAGTTGCCAGAGAGATATGGGTTGTGCAAAAAGGTTAAGGGGGTTAAGAGGTAAAAATCTGTATTTATAACATAAATAAATCAGAGAGATGTAAAGCACAGCAGAGGGAGTGCCGTCAATATCACAATAACTTTGTATAGTGACAGAGGGATACTGGACTTTTCGAGGTGATCACTTTTAAGGTATATAAATATCAAATTATTGTGTTATACACCTGAAACTAATATAATATTGTATGTCAACCATACTGTAACTAAAACAAGATGTACATTCCAGAATGAAAAAAAAGAAAGAGAAAATCGAATTGATGTACCAGAAGTCAATTAATTGAACAAAAAGTTTGGAAGGATGCCCAGCTCTCCTAATTTCCAGTCAGTACTGTTTTCACTGAACCAATTTCCACTATATACGTGTGTGTGTGTGTGTGTGTGTGTGTGTGGATTTGTATGGCTTGTTTGGAGAAAACATCTCCATGCCTTTCTCTCTATTACAAGGGGCCCCAAGGCCTTCAAAGGTGTCATCTTGACAGCTGTGTGCAGCCCGTCCTTCAATTCTTTCTAACATTCTCACTGCTGATGTGCTTGTCTGATAATCATTTGCTGTTTCCTCTACATTTCCACAAAGAATACCCTTTCTTATCTCCCAGTAGCACAGCTTCCTCCTATTACCACTAATCAGTCAGTTCTATTTCTTCCTGCCTCATAATATCAATGTATTTAAAATACCCCGTGAACAGTTCTCTACAACCCAAGTGTGGCAGAAATTGAGGAAAATAAGCTTATTCAATTCCTTGGCTCCCTGCCTGGTTTGCCACAGTTTAAAAGATTAGCTTAGATATCTCTTGCACCTTTTATTTCAGATTTGAGACCATTGTTATTTTTTTTTAAAAAAGGAATTCTTCAATTCTTACCCAGATTGCTTAGAAAATGGATTCTACTTCATTCTCAAAATGCAGCAGAGTCCTTAATTTGCCCAGCCTTCTTGTTGTCGTAACTATAATAATCATTTATTTATAAGGCTTCCATTGGAACTCTTAAGCATTGAAGATTCTCTTTCCATAGGAATTTTTCTTTAGGTATTTACATTAAGTAAAACTTTTCTTCATAGGGCAGAAAAACAAATAGAAATAGTTAGGAAAAAATGCAACTTCTGTTTGCAATTATAGGAACTACAAGATTATAAACAAGTCATACAAGAACTCAAGTCAAGGATCAAGGGTTTTTATATTCTTTTCCTAAAATTTTCCTAGATACAATTTTATCCTCTTTTTATTACCTCACAACAACTCTGACCACAGGACAAATTATCTCTGCTACCTCTCTTTGTGGCTTCCCTATGTCACAGCTTAATTCAATAATTTAATTTCCCCTAAAAGGCACAGGCAGTGGACAAAAGGTCAGACATAATGCCCAGAGTAAACGAAGTGTCATAGCTCCAACTGCTATCACTCCTTGGAGAAAAATATTCTTAGATTAGACACGAAGTAAAAGAATTTAGATCAGACAACAGTAATCATGTATTATTTTTCCTCTGGAAAAGTTTTTATGTAGCAGGCAGAGGCATTTAAAACAATTTTATTGCCCTAGGAACATGTTTTATGTTCAATTTTTTCTCTTCAAAATATAGCTATTTTAGTGCCTAAGTTGTTGAATGCCTCATGAGTGATTTTGTTTTTAAATGTTTGAAGAACGGAAGTCTCTGGAAACTGGCATTCTCCTCATTTTTTGTTCCCTTTACTCCAACAGCTAAAAGTACAGCAAAGATGATGAAGCTCTTACAGCAGCTCCAGGGAACAGCGGGACAAGGCAGTAGAGAACAACACTCCCACCTCCGCTGACTCACTGCCATGAGCGAGGCTAGTGAGGAAGAGACAGGAGGAGAGAGCACAGACCAATAAATGCCCATTTGCCTCGAATCTTTTAAAGCTCTATTTGGGCAATTAAATGATTCCTCTCCTCTTTCTTCCTCTTTGAACAAATGGCTAGTGCCATCAGGATAAAACTTTTGAAAGAATATAGAGGAGTTGATTAGGTAGTGCTAAAAGAAATATAAACACATTGATGAACCAGGAAATGAACTCATAGCTATAGAAAAACCCACATTCACAACATGAAAAATGATGATCCTTAAGGGGGGGGCTGCTAACTGCTTAAGGCAAGGTCTCTGTTATTTTTATTGTGAGGTTTGCCCCCGCCCCAAAAGAAATCCTATCTGGACCCCTAATATATAAAAAAGGAAATCAAGCAAAGCAAACCCAGAATGACTGTAGTTAGAGTTCATGGGACCTTAGAATAGCTGTTCTAGAGCTTTGAGATCTGAGACTTCTTCATATGCCTTTATGAGGATCAAATAAAGTGAACTTTATAAATTGCAAATTTATAGATATTTCAATGTCAATAAAAGATTCTGAGACAAAATGCTTAAGGATTAAAGAAAAATGTTTTCTGCCCTGGCTGGTGTGGCTCAGTGGTTTGAGTGCCAGCCTGAGAACCAAGGGGTCACTGGTTGGATTCCCAGTCACAACACATGCCTGGATTGCAGGCCAGGTCCCCAGTAGGGGGTGAGTATGAGGAAACCACACATTGATGTTTTTCTCTCTTTTTCTCTCCCTCTCTTCCCCTCTCTAAAAATAAAGAAATAAAATATATTTTTAAAAAGAAGAAGGATCCAAAGCTCTTTCTAAAAAAAATAAATGTTTTCTTTTTGTTTTGTTTTGTTTTGTTTCACGTCAAACGGGTAATGTGCCATCGTCGTAACAAGGTTTATTGGGAGGTACATGTCACACAAAAGCGTGAAGACCCAATCATCACACTTACGAACTACAAAAGGATCCAAAAGATAAATGTTTTCTGATATACCATTTCCATTATCATGAGAAGTTGCTTTTCTTTAAGTAGGAAGAGATCTTTCAATGCTCCTTAAACCATGTGATGTTTGAAGTTTCCGGCTTACTGATTTGAAAGCTTTGCCCTGCTGTTTGGATTCTTCAGAACATTTTTTTTTTTTTTTAGGATGGAGGAAGGGCTAGACATGTGTCTCCTCCCTCTAATACGGTCAGAGGAGCCATGCTCCTTTGTGCAGATTGGGAAGATGGAGAGTCAGGTGACACCCCGGGGGTGTCCGAATACAGAATGAGGGACTGTCACTGTGCTTCAATTCTCAGGGCGGCATCACTGTTGCAGGAGACCCTGAAGTCTGAACCAGGGCCATGGAGGGCTCTGTGCTGAGCCCCACGTCCTGGGAGAAGCGACGGGCCTGGATCCGTCAGAGCCGTCACTGGCAGACCCAGGTCCTGGAAGAGGAGGCTGCAGCTGCCCTGCAGGATGTCCCAGATCCTGAGCCGTCCAGCCTGGATGATGTTTTCCAGGAAGGTAAGAGGCAATTAGACATCAAGCAGACTTCCATGTTGCCTTTGGTAGGCCTGCAGAGTGTGGGCAGTAGGTCCTTTGTCTAGGCTGGGCCCTCCGGGAGGCTCATTGTGCCTGGTTTAAATGAGTTTAAGGGAAGAAGGGTAAAGTAATACAAAATATGAATTATGTGAGAAAAAGACAGGCATAAGACTAGGAAACAAAAAGAGGCACATTTCTGTGTCATCGTGGGAAGCTGTAGGACCTGAGGCCAGGGTGCTCTGCAGATGCTTTGCGATGTTTCAATTTTGTCTGTGTAACAGGATCGCAAGCTGAATGCTTGGACTCTGGCTACCACTCTGTCACTGACAAGCTGTGTCCTTTGTCAAGTCACTCACCTCTCTAAGACATATTTGTCTCATTAAAATAATATAATAGTAATACTTTTTCTATATGCCTCTCAGAACTTTTTCAAGGTTCAAAGGAGACTACAGCTATAAGGGGGGAAAACCTTATATAAATAAATCCATTTTTTTATTTAGTAGGAAACAAAAGTCACAAATGCAATACAGTGCTTTTCTAGTTATATTTTGGGTTTGTTTCTTTCTCTCTTTTTTTTTTTTTTTAAGGGGAAGGATCCACTCCTTTTCCCTATCCATGGCTAAAAGGAGCAATTGGCTTGACATCCTAGGCATTTTCCAGGTGCCTGGGGAGAAAAAGACAGTGGGGCAGAGAAAGAAAAAATATACACTATTGTTATACATGGGTATACTCCTCTTATATCTTAAAGAAAAGTATAATGGGGGGAAATAAAGGATTGGTGACATGGCTTATATAAGGATAAACTTGAAAATGGGGTGAGTTGCTGGGATGGAGTCTGATTTCCTTCAGCTCTCACAGTGACCTGATGTCTCACTTTCCTAGGGAATCCAGTCACTAAGATTGAAGACTGGTTGCAGGACTGTGGGTGAGTGTTGGCCATGCAATGGGATTGAACGCGGTTGATGGTTGGATATGCAACAGGCACTGACTCGCGGGAACTCAGAAACAAAGGCATGGGTTTGAATTGGGCCTAATGATTAGAAGTGAGGTTGAAATGGGGAGGGAGGTAAGGGGTGAGGTGAGTGGGCATTGTGGCTATGCATCAAGTGCAGCTCTGGGATGAGACGAATTTAGTGTGCGGTCTGGAAATATAGGCAGCATCTAGTCTGAAGCCAAGAATGATGGAAATCTGCAGCTTTGGAGAATAGCTGGACTGAGTTCCAGATTCCTACTCTACTGCTTTTCCTTTCAGACTAGTGTCAAACACTATGTAACAAAAGAGGTTAGAAACCTAATTGTTCTTATGATCAGAGTAATGCATCACTATGTTGTTTATTTCTATGGCAGAACACAGGACAAAGGGCTAAGGGTTTATTCCAACCATTCCAAGCAGGGAAGAATTTCAACAGATACTTCAAGGCAAAATGTAGTATCTTTCCTCAGAAACACTTTAAAATATGAGACCCCCACACCCCATAGCCTGTAAGACTGTTTTAAACTCAGTCTACCCAGACTTGGGAGGAATGCTTCTGTGACCTATTTAAGCCTGACCATTTGTGCGAAAATGAATTCTCAGAATTTATAACTCCCGTCTGCTCCTTATCTCCCCTCCAGGAATGGTTTAAGCTTGATAGCGCCTTTAATCGAAACTCATCTATTAACATACACATAAACCCACCTTTGCTTATTTGGTAGGAAATAAATAGCACTGAATAATCCAATGCTGTTTATTTCAACTATGACCCAGAAGGTAATGCAAGGAAGGATTTATTTTGTGTTGTTGTTGCTATTTACAGAACATATCATCCTTATAGTCCTAATCTGGTTCACAATTCAATGACTTCAAAGTCAATTAAGGGTAATCAAAATATAGAGAAGTAAAGAAATGTAGGAATAGGAACGTTTACAAGTTTTGGTGTGTGAGAACTGTCCTGGAATTTTTAAATCCTTCACCGTTGCCAGAGGAAACAGAAGTGCATGGAGGTGGCAGAGGGTAAAGGGGAGATAAATGGTAATAGAAGGAGACTTGAGTTGGGGTGGTAAACACACAATACAATATACAGTTGATGTTTTGTAGAATTGTATACCTAAAACCTATATAATTTTATTAACCAATGTCACTCCCAATAAATTCAATAAGAAATAAAATTGAAAAATTTTTAAAAATAAAATAAAATGTTTCACCAGATTTGTACAACAGAACCAGTTGTCTCAGTTAATGTCTTTATCTCATTAATTACTGTTGAGTCTTATCAATTTACATCAACAATTATTAACTGTGCATTTGCTACCTGCCTGATAGTCTAAATAGTCTGGAGGGGTACTAAGTAGTTTAAAATTTGCTCCTTGCCTGTAAACATACTACATTGTAGTTGAAAAGAATAAATTCACAGAAATATAAGATTGCAAACTTCATAAATCACCTTTCCCTGCCTGTATTCTACAAAGATAAACACTGATGCAAAATACAAGTTGAAAATGTAGCCTGGTAAGTGAAAAGACTCCAATATTTGTGCCTAATTCTTTTGTGATCTATCTTTGTAAATTGCAAGTAAACTACTGAAATTCTATCTCAGAATCCTCGCCTATAAAGTGGAGAACTAGTATAATAGTTTCAAAAGTGTCAAAAGTTTTCAAAGATTTAAATGCTATGATGTATGTACAAGCAGGGTAATGCTCTGTAGCAATATGTAGGTAGTAAGGTTTATAAAGTAGGGGCTTTATGCTACTTTAAAATTCTGTGAAGGAGTTGCACCAACTCCAGGGTAGTGGTTACCTCTAGGAAGAAGTAAAGGAGGAATGGGAGTAAGATGAGACTTTAGTTCTATCTTTAACATTTTATTCATTTTTATTTTTATCTGAAGCAAATATGACAAAATGTTTACATGTGTGAAAATAGAGTGACAGGTACAAGAGTATCTCATAATTTTTTTTTACTTTTCTATGTGTTGAAAAAAATTCAATATTTAAACTTCAGAAAGGCCACAAGAATGTCTATTAGTGTGCTTATATTTGTCTTTGGAAGGGGAATTAGTAAGCTCATAAAATATTTCCAGTTTAGTCTATTTTCTAATCCTCCCAAATAAGTAAGTAATACTTTTTAACCACATGGGAAAATCATAAAAATTAAAGGATGATGATTGATGATAGTGAGAAAATACTTGATTTTGATAACACACAATGAAGTAGATTTAGAGGATATGTACTCTAAATATGACTTTCAGAGTTACCATCATCTTTGATTCTTAAGCTGCAAAGACCACAGAGGAAAGAAGATGGACAAGGAACCCACATTCACTGGTTATCTGTCCACTCTGTTGACAGGTGCCCTAGGAGGCACCTTTCAAATTTTATTTCAAGACTACATAGTTTCCATTTTTTTTCCAGTGCCAAACACCCTCTGGTAGCAAACAGGTTTGTTTAATGACAAGCTTTCCAAGAAAGTTCACCAACTTCCTCGGTAATTTAGTGTCAGTGTTTCTCAGGGTAATCGAATCTAGTAGCAGACCCTTCTGCTGCCGCTTTAGATCACGTACATCTTTACAAACCATATCTACTATATCTCTCTCTCCTTTCTTTCCCCTCTTAAGCCCTCAGGGGATTTTCTAGGACATGAATATGTTACTTGTGAAGCATCAGAGGCAGGGTCGGGAGCCCAAAAATCCTCTGTGTGGACTTCAGTTTAAAATCTCTGCAAACGGAGCCTATGGAAGTTTCTGGAAGCAGCAAAAAGTAGTCACATGCTTCTTCTCATAATCCAATCCACCTCCCTACTCTTTCTTTATGAATTGGGTATTGGACTTCATCTTGGCTCTAGTACTTCAGGCTTGAAATGATTCTAAGGGACCTTTCATTGAAAAGGTGGAGAGAAGTGCGGCTATGGATCTAGTCCTCAGTCATGGACATTATGTCTTAAGCAATAACCCATGAAAGGCCTAGGACTTAGGGGATAAACGTGAAGTTTCAAATCAACATGCTCAGTAAGAAGACATCGATAAATCCAGGCCCACGTCTATACTACTGTTGTAGATCCCACATACACGTAGAGAAACCTACTGCCCCAAGGGTTGTCCTGGGCTGGACCTCATATAGAGACTATGGACATGCTTGCCAGGGCACAGCTAGAGAAGAGAGATATAGGGTGAACGTCCAATAAAAACTTGTATCTAATGAATAATAGCAAGTTTTCCTTTGGCCAGACTAGGAATTTTATCAGTGATATTTTTAATGTAAAGTTTGTTGAAGTATAGCATGCATATTAGTAGTATTTCTCTTTTTAATATAAATTGTGGTAGAACTCAATGGGTGTACAGTTTGGTTATACTAGATAAGTTCTAACTCTCTACTGTACAGCATAGTGCTTATAGTTAACAATGTGGCATTGTGCATTTTAAAATTTGTTAAGAGGATAAATCTCATGTTAAGTGTTCTTACTACAAAAGAACACAAAGGGAAAAAGGAAACTGGGAGTTGTCGGGTATGTCTGTTGATTCGTAACTGTATCACAGGTGTTTGCATGCGTCCAAGCTCATCAGATTGTATACATTAATTACGTGCAGTTCCTTGTTTTGGGTTAGCCAAAAAGTTTGTTTCTTTTTTTCTGTAAGATGGCTCTAGAAGGGCTTAGTTGTCTTTAATTTCATGCAAAACCATTTTGTTAAATTGTGTTGTGTTAAACAGTATTGTGACAGCTGTCATATCAGCGTGCATTTTTTAAAAAACTTATCAAAATTGGTGAATTTTTGCATAGCCATTTTAATATTGAAGATGGAAGAAAATGTGCAACATTTTGGCATATTATTCTTTATTACTTCAAGAAAGGTAAAAATGAAATGAAATGCAAAAAGATTACTGCAGTGTGGAGAAGGTACTGTGACTCATCAAACATGTAAAAAGTGGTTTGTAAAGTTTCGTGCTGGAGATTTCTCATTGGACGATGCTCCAATTGTTGGGTAGACCAGCTGAAGTTGACAGTGATCAAATTGAGATATTAACTGAGAAAATCACATTATACCACACGGGAGGTAACCAATGTCATCAAAATATCCAAATCAATAAAGTTATTGGCGGAAATGAAAAATGTGTATTTTATTTTACAGAAAATACCATAAGGACTTTTTGGCCAACCCAATATATCAATTATACCTCAGAAAAACTGCTACAATAACAATAATATAAACTGCATTGAAATATAAAGTATTTACTGAAAAATAAACAAGTATTAAATACATAGCTCAAGGAATTTTCTCAGAGGGCACACACCTGTAAAACCTTCAGGAATGTTACCCGCACTCCAGGAGCTCCTGTCTGTCCCCTTCCATTCATTACCCAGCTTCAAAGGTAACCAGTAACCTGACTTACAACATCATAGATAAGTTTTACAGTTGGTTAACTCTATGTAGATAAAATCATACAACATATACTATTTTATGTGTGCTTCTTTTGTTTCGCATTGTGTTTGTGATTTCATGTTTTGCAAGCAGCAACAGGTCACACTTTTTACTGTTTATAGCATTAAATTGTATTCATCCTACAGTTTATCCATTTTACAATAATTAGAGAGTTGGGTCTTCCAATTGTGGGTTATTATGAAAATCATTTCTTTTGGTGAATATATAAAGGCATATCCGCTGAAAATACACCCAGAAGTGCAATAGTAGTGTGTTTTTATTGTAGTTATAATCATATTTGGCTTTAGTAGCTACATTACTGTTACTACATTAATGTTTAGCTACAGCACAAGCATTAAATGCAGTAGTAAATCTCAGTATTCTATCTAGTACTTGACTATATTAGTTATCATTGTGTTTTAATAGTAAATATTAATTTGTACTAATATTTGTAATATTATATATACTAACATATTTGTAGTATTATATTAAAATATATTGGTATAATGTTATATGTATAATTAAAAAAGTTTATGTATAATATTATATACTAGAAAGAAAAGTGTATATTTGTAGTTCAAGTTGTAATATTAGAGTTACTAGTTCTTAATTAACCTGGGTATATCACTTCACTTTTTTTTAACTTTATTGGGGTGACATTGGTTAATAGGATTATATAGACTTCAAATGTACATTCCTATGATACAAGATCTGTATATTGCACTGTATACCCACCAACCAAACTATCTCTGTCACCATATATCAGGCCCCCTCCACCCCTCGCGCCCCTCTCTCCCTTCCCTCTAACTACTACCACACTGCTGTCTGTGTCCATGAGTTTCAGTTTTACATCCCACATATGAGTGAAATTACATGGCTCTTAGCTTTTTCTGACTGACTTATTCCACTTAGCATAATATTCTCAAGGTCCATCCAAATTGTCACAAATGACAGTATTTCATCTTTTCTTATGGCTGAATATCCCATAGTATATATGCACCACATCTTCTTTATCGAATCCTCTATCGAAGGACACTTTGTTTTTCTCCATGTCTTGACCACCATGAATACTGTTGCAATGAACATCAGGGGTGCATATATCTTTGCGAACACATGTTTTCAAGTTTTTCGGGTAGGTACCCAGGAGAGGGATTGCTGGGTCATATGGTAACTCTATTCTTAATTTTTTAAGGAACCTCCAGACTGTTTTCCATAGTAGCTGTATCAATCCATCTCCCCACCAGCAGTGAATGAGGGTTCCTCTTTCTCCATAACCTCTCCAACACTTGTTAATACTTGTCTTGTTTGATTTCACACTTTATATCACACCTTGATGTCCAGTTTTTTCACAAGGACATGTAAAAATATAGAATTTGTAAAACAGGGGTGACTTTTTTCATTATTAAAAACAAAGTACCAGTAAAAGATGTCTGTATATGATATCTAAGGATTTATTTAGTAAAATTTTAACACAACTAATCTACAGATGTTCAATTAGTAAACCCATTGCCATTATTAAACATTTCATGAAGTGATGCTGCAATGGCCTGAGATTTTATTGCATCGCTGGAGACTGAAAAAGGAGGAAGCTCACTTAAGATGCACTCCAGTCTGTCTCCCTGATAACGCACTTAACAAGTCTCTGCTCCAGCCTCCACATAAGACTGCATTCAAAGCAGCATGTGCAACTTCCATTTCATAAAACTCTCAGGAAAGCAAACTCTATGAAACTCACAACACATCAGTGCTTGAAGTAGACTTAACTAATAATAATATCTAGTTATTCAGTCCCCTATGTAATAGTTGAGAACGTAGCACCGGCAAGGAGCCAGGATTAGAATCCAGGTGCTCTGGTCCCAGGTCAAAAGCTTTTTCACAGGCTCCTTCACTCATGTGTTTTAGACAGAGAATTTCTTCCTTGTTTATAAAATTAAGTTGTTTCTCACTACCAATTATGCTGATTTCCATCTGTTTTTCTTCTGGAGATAGTAAATGTTTGATAAGCCCATATCTCAAAATGTGAAAATATAATCTCTAACCAAGATTCAGTTTCTGCTGCTTCCTGAAAGACATGATGTTCTGCAAGACTATGGCTTAGAGAGAAGGAAAGGGGTGTGGGTAGATAAGATGGCCTACTAAAAATTTTTTTTATTTCTATATTTGTTTTTGTAATGTGGAAATTATGCACCCAAATCCCTGCTTCTATAAATGTATCTCTCCAGTTTTGCTTCCAAAGACTTTACGTCCTGTTTTTTCTAGGAACTCAGCTGGAGAATTTTTGCTAAGCCAACTTTAGACAATGTGGTCAGTACAACAGCAGCACTCCAATCCCAGCTCCCCCTGACCACCTCCAGAATGTGTCAGTCAAATAACCATGCTGTCTTGTTTTCTTCAACGTAAAATCAGTTTAAATACTACTGACTCTCATTGGAAGATTATGTGAACCTGTGAGACATATTTGAGGAAAGTCCCTTGCAAAATGTAGTGATTTGGACCTATAAGATTATTTTTGGTTTTTAGATACTCTGAAGAAGGGTTTTTTGAGGAAGCTGGACAGTCAATCTATAATGGTGAGTACAGGCTCTGTTCTTTCTTCTCTTGTTCTTCTACCTGGATTGTGATATGGCTGTGTGTGAATGTGTATGTATATGCACAGGCATGTGCATCCGTAAGAAGGCTGACTCTCTCATAAATCTCTTCAAAACACCTATTAGTGGTCACAGGCACTCGGGAAGGTCCAGAAGATAGAGTAAGCACTGGCTTAGAGACCACAGGCTCAGCAGTTCTCAAAGGTTATCTTCCATTAGTGGTTGCTCAGCTAACAATCACTGCTATAGGAAAAGAACTTTGTAAAATGTGTGTTTATGTGTGTGAGTGCGCACCCCATGTGCTATTTGGCAGAGGATTGTGTACACAACTATGTGATGTAGGGGACAGGTTAATTATAGATGAGTGTTCATGCGATTCTTTCTGAGTCATAATATGAATGTGATTTCTGAGGTAGTATATGTATGTACAGCTGAGGGTAGTTTTGCAAACATGTGGGTGTCTGATGTGACTCTGTGTGTGTGTGTGTGTGTGTGTGTCCAAACCTGATTTCCTGTGACCTTTGCCTTATTATTTGACAGGGTGTCCCAGCCATGGAACCAGCTTTGAAGATGACTTGACCCTTGGAGCAGAGGGTAAGTGGCACAGTTCTCTGAGGCTGAGATCGAGTAAAAGGCTATACATTGGATTAATTAGGAGAAAATGAAAGGGGATAACTGCAAGGATTAAAAGCAGCCCATCCCTGGGGTCTTATCCATAGGGAAAGAACAGCCTCAATAGGATCTAATGTGAAGCTTGGAAAGCATCATGTGCCCAGAAATACTCCTGCACCAGCCTATCAGAATGTGTGCTGGTCCATCACTGGAGCTTTCCTGTGAACCCTGGGAAGATAACGTATAAAATCACAGCAATATTGGCTGCCCAGACATCTTTGAAATGGTTTTCTGTATAGGAAACCAAAAGCAACCACAGTGCTGGGTGTGAGAGAGACTGCATTGCAGAAAGATAAGAGCTTGAATAAATGATGGAGGTATAACAACCTATTAGTGTCTCCTGGGACCTGTAGAGACTCATATGGTGGGACAGGAAATCTAGCCTGGAGGGCTGAAGTCAGGACAGAGAAACTCTTGCCTAGAAGCCAGTCATGGTTCAGAAGTTCAGAGGCTTGGAGCCATTGTTTTCTGCCATATCTGTCCCTGTTCCAGGTCTGTGTTTGATAAACCTTAGATATCCCGGTAAAGAGTAAAGTTCATGGAGTTCAGCGATCCTGTACTAGTTGCAGAGATGAATACAGGGAGATGAGTTTTAAATTCAGAGAGGCAGGGCAGCTTAGGTGATTTTTATTTTCCCTTCTAACTTTCTCTTTGCCTTTCTGTTCCTTGTCCAGCCACACTGTTGTCCACCAATGGCAAACTCTTCTCCAGGTAAGTGTAAGGTTCAGCTAGGCTAACTCTCTCCTTCAGGAGCTACTGAACTGGGATAAATGTCAGAGTCAAAGAAATGAAAAACAAAGAGTTGAAAATTCACAGTAGAATGAGATTTCCCCACCAGGAATGAAGCATAGACTGAGTTTTCAAGGTAGATGGTTTAAACGTACCCCCAAGGAGTGACTGTGCCCAACAGGTATGTCATGCAGCCAGTGTACAAACTGCTTACAGGATTAGTATGACATTATCTCTGATCTCTGCAGGAGTTTCCTAGAGACAGCCCGGCCCTGCCAGCTACTAGACCTTGGCTGCAGTTTGGCTTCCAGTAGCATGACTGGTGGGACCAACAAGACTAGTTCAAGGTATGTACCATGTTCAGCATGGGTAGAAGGATGGGGAAGATGAGAGGCAGAAGAGAGTGGAGCCAAGAACCGCTGCCCATTATTCTTACTGGATCTTCTATGCAGTCACATACATGAAAAGTATGAACATATTGCTTCAAGAATAGTAGAGAATGCAGAGAAATCTACTGCTTAGAGCTGGATGTGGTATATAAAATAAAAGGTGTCTTTCCACTGAACTTTATACCCTAGGAAGTATAGCATCGGTACATTCACAGCTCCTGAACTTATGCTACGTGCTCATTAAACAACCAATAAATGTATTAATTAATTGATTGATTTGTTGGTTGAATGAAGCAATAAAATATTCATTTAGGCAATTTTGTATCCCTGAAAGTAGGCCAGACAATGACTGTATGAAATTTGAAAAGATGAAGAAGCCCTGATTGGAGTGGCTTGGTGGATTGAGCACCAGCCTGTGAACCAAAGGGTCACCGGTTCGATTCCCAGTCTAGGGCACATGCCTGGGTTGTGGGCCAGGTCCCCAAAAGGGGGCGCTTGAGAGGCAACCACACACTGATGTTTCTCTCTCTACCTCCCTTCCCTTCTCTAAAAATAAATAAATAAAATCTTTTAAAAAGAGAGAAAAGATGAAGAAGACAAAGAGCTTGGCCCCAGTAATTCAACCATCTAATAGGATGAATAAAATAACATGCAAATAACTTTAAAACAAGATGGAAAATGATGAAAACTAGCATGGTATAATTAAAAGTGCCTGGAATATCAAGTCGAAGTTTGAATTTGAGACCTGGTCCTAAGACTTACTGGCCATATAACTATCCTGAGTGGTTTGTCTTGACAGAGCCCTAGCTCTGGCCACACTCCAGTTCAATTAAACCAGCATCTCTTGAGATAAGACTCAGGTACCTGCATTTTTTATTTTTTTTATTTTCTATTTTTTAAAATTAGAAAGATGAACTATTCTATGAACATTCCATATTTTTCCAACACTGATAGTCAAAACTCTAGTTATGGCGGCCTACAGTTAAGTGGCCTCCATAACTCTTCCCCTTCTCTTCCCCCAATGCCACCCTTTCTTGGAGACACCAAGATGTGTATCAATGTCCCTAGAAATCTGAAACAAGTCCACACAAATGACAGACTTTATCCATGTGGTCTCACTATCAAATTACAGAAAGCAGTTCCACTATCCAAATTATATGAAGCAGTTAATGGGAATTTGAGAAAAACATAGTCCCATGAATAGTAGTAAGCATCTAGGAAAGTTTTCCATTCGTCTGTCCATTATTTTCACAAGATTAAAGTTAAAAAAACACAACCAAATACATATATGACTCTTAAACCCCAAACACACAATAAATTGGTCTTTGTTCATTCTCTGATGACCAGATGCTCCATGAGTGCCAAAGGTGGAAGCTAACCCTCCCATAGTCTTTTCTTCAACCGTTCTTCAACTACCTTCCTTTTCCAAAAAGGTAATGCTGAAATCAGTCAGAAAGGCTTTCTGAGAAGACTGGCTTGGCTTTCTGAGTCTGTTCCAGTCCATTCAAGATGAATTGGCTTGTATCAATGAAGAGCTCAACACAGTTCACAAAATAGGCCTCAACCCAACTGTCCAACTGTGGCCTAGACTTGTCCATGCATTTCTCCAATTCTTAGAGGAGTCCTTAACCATGTCCAACACTGGGCCAAATGTAATGAATCATAGATTTTCTTTTTAAAGAATCGAAGTATTGTGGTCCAAGGCAGACAGGAGTTAAGTAAGCATTTGTCAAGGGTCAGAGCCCAGCACTACCATAAATTTATGAAAAAAGGACTTCAGAAACTGATAACTGTATGTAGTTCAAGTTAAGCAGTTCAAATGAATATTGGTTAATATTCTCTATGGTGTACATAAGCCTTAGACCCTCCTCTTCCAAAGAAAATTACCCTTGGCCTCTGAATTCTGTGAATTTTGTGTCAGGGCAGGGCAGTTACATTATCATTGGCAGTGAGAGAACACTTTGATCCCAAGGTGCAAGTACCCTCCACCCTTTTGCCAAAGTCCCCTTACCAGGCATACTCAATTCCTTAACCTTTGGACCCAAAATGGCTTAATATTACAAAACAATCCATCGAAAAGGCAAAGAAGTATGTACATTGGGAGAGATTACACCACTTTTATAGTTAATAGGCTGGAGACACTCATTTGTCACAGGGGACATTAGAGAAAGTGGGCAGTCAAGGTAAACCATGAGGAGTCCAGGAAGAGGAGCTTCACAGACTCCCCAGGACTTGGAGTTCCAAAAATTAGATCCCAGTACTGGGGACTCTCACCAGTCTTGCTGACCAGCACTAGGCAGCCTTCAGGTGCCTAAAGTGCTGATTGGGACAGTGGCATAAGTCTTCTATGATCCCCAGTCCTCTGTACCAACACAGTCTAGGCCCAGAGTGGCAATTGCCTAAGAAGCAGAGTCACTTATTCTCCCACCCAGGTCGGCCTGAGAAATCTAAGGAAACCAACGGGTGCTTCCTCCTCCCAAAGTCCCGCAGGGCAAGGACAAGGGGAAACTAGGTACAGTGGCCAGGTCTCGGCCCCAGGCTTCTCACCCAACAAAGTTCAGTCACATGGTGCACCAGCTGCTGGAAGTGCTGCTTCTCAGTCTCCACCTCTATGAAATGCTGCAGCTGCAGGTCCTCTGAGCTCAAACCCGCCATGAAGAAAGACGAAGAGGAATCCATCCCAGCTGAGCCATGCATGCTGAAATGAACTCCACAGCAACTCACCAACCTTCCCATACTGACTCGACAGAACTGGAACCACAACCTGCTGCACTGGAGACCCAGATATCTGCATTTTTTAAAAGTCCCCTCCCAAAGTGATTCTAGTATGCAGCCATGATTGAGAACCAATGATCCAGATTTAGACCCACAATTCAGATCAGGAAACTTAGGGCCATGGAAATAAAATCAGCACTTAGGTAACAAACATAAAAATAGAGCCAGGGATTCCAATGAATTATCCAGCTATTAATTAAACAAGATGGCACTTATTTGGATCAAAAGACTGGCATCTTTTCTGAAGAGAGTGACAGTGATTATTCAAAGTCTCAAATAATCCACAGCACCTCACCCCATTGTTGTTTGAGATGCATAGCTATTGAGCTCTGTGCCACCCAGCCTGGTGAAACACAGATTCAGGTGTAGACACATGTTGGTGCCATAAAGAAGGAGTACTTGACCTTATGTAATGCAGGGCTTCTTACTGAAGAGGGTGTTACAAAGGAGTCTACCTCTCAAAACCAATTTTTGAACATAACTATACAGCAGGTCCTCAAATAACGCTGTTTTGTTCAATGCTATTTTGTTAACAACATTGACGATATGCTGTAGGAACTTAACAGTTATTTATGACAATTAGCTTATGGTAAATTTGATTTCATTGGATGTTGTTGGGTTTTTTTTTAAGATTTTATTTATTTATACTTAAAGAGAGGGGAAGGGAGGGAGAAACAGAGGTAGAGGAACATCCATGTGTGGTTGCCTCACACACACCCCCAACTGGGGACCTGGCCCGCAACCCAGGCATGTGCCCTGACTCAGAATCGATCCAGTGACCCTTTGGTTCACAGGTCGGCACTCAGTCCACTGAGCCACACCAGCCAGGGCCATTGTATGTTGTTTTGCTTAAAGTCACAGAACCTATTGACAACATTAAGTGAGGATCTACCATATTGAAAATGTTTTACCCTGAAGGTGAGAATAAAATGAGTTTTATGTTCCCTATACATGCATCCTCCAGTTGCCCCCACACAACCACTAAGAGCATACAGGATGGCAAGATGCAAAGCACTTGGCAAGAGCCAGTTATGTCACAGTACATGTGTGCACACAGGAACTGACTAGTTAATAACACAACTACAGATTTTTTGCATTGTACTGCTTTTGATTGTTCAAATCCTCTCATAGTAAACTTTCATTCACCTGTAATTGGTTATTCAAAGCACTATGATAGAGTCTCATTCAATTTTTAAACCAGAGCTACACTGTAATTCCCGTGTCTCAGACAGAGAATGTAGGTTCAGGGAAATGAAAGCTTTTCTCAAAGTCAAAGACACTCTGGGTTACCCTGAGTCTCAAAATTGCCCCTGCTTACCCAAATTCCCTCTTTTCAGCATCTCTGAGATTCTGGACAAGGTGCAAGAAGATGCAGAAGATGTCCTTTTCAGTCTGGGCTTTGGCCAAGAGGACCACAAAGACACTTCTCGGATTCCTGCCCGATTTTTCACCAACCCCTCCCAGGCCAGAGGCATTGATTTCCAGCTCTTCCTGAAGGCCCAGGTGCGGAGGATCGAGATGGAGGACCCTTGCCTCATGCTGGCCAGTGAGTGTTCCCACAGATCCGTGTGCTCTGCTTCTCCCTGAGGCTCCAGACAGGGATCAGTGGATCCAAATCCTATTTTCTCTTGATTAGCTTCACGTGATCCTTTGTCTCTTGTGTCTATTTTCTCTTACATTGTCTTCAGTGAAGATGAATTTTGACATCTGCTTCTGTCTTCAAGAGACCTCATATCACTGTTGCTTTCTATAGTCCATCTCAAAGTAGAATAATATCTTTAAATCTCATCCCCATTTTTTACTTCTCAGTTGGAATTATTGAATGTTCCTATTTACAGGCACTGCATTAAAATCATTTCCATTTAAGACCGTGATTCTCAAAGTTCAATATGTTAAATTGCACAAAGTGTTTACAAAGCATTCATATTTATAGGTTTTTTCCTCCAGAGAAAGGGGTCTCGGGGATATTAGTTTAAACAAGCACACAGATGATTCTTATGCATAATCCTTACACCACATGTAGGGAAACAATAATTTAAGATGTACTGATTTAATACTAAGGAAAGATATGAGAGAGCTTCTGTACCTTAATGAGGTATAAAAGACTCTATTTGACTCCTTGTGTTAGGATATTTTTCAAATTATAACAGAAACATGATGGTGTTTCTGACAGTGTTGTTCCAGATTCTTTATATCAGATTCAACTTAAAACCTTGGTAAAACTAACCTCCTGAGCACCACCTGCTGAAACAAGAATTTTGAGTTGGAGTATTTTCACACCTTAGATGATTCTTAGTCACACTCACTTGAGGATAATTTATTGAATTTTTTTATGTGACAGCTACATAATTTGGTGTTAAATTCTGTAATAACAATAACAAGAAGAATATAATTCTTGCCTTCAGGAAGGTTACAATTTAATGGATATGTGGTTGATCACAGAGCTTTTCAAACATGGATGAATTACCAAAGGGTATTGTTAAAATGCTTGGGATACAGTCTGAGATTCTTCATTTATAACAAGGTGCCAAGCAATACCAATGCTACTGGACTACTAACCACACTTTAAGGAGCAAAGATCTAAGAGTAATGATGGACTCCATCTAAATTTCTCTAATATAGTCCATTGCCCAGTTATCGCTATCCCTCAAATTTATTGATACCAAGAACACATCTATAATCTTAAAGTTTTGTTACTAAGAAAATAATGTTAATTTTGTTGTTTTTTTTATCATGTTTATCATCTACAACAAAAAGTGATGAAGGTCACTATTTAGAATATACTGACAGCAGAAAGATATAGGAGCTATAACTCGAGATATAGAAATGTTTCTTATCCACATAGAATCCACATAGAACTAAAGTAAAATACTTATTTGGGATGGGGAGTCAAGAAATCAAGAAATTAGGACACTTGACTCTGGATGATGGACACACAATACAATATGCAGATGACATATTATAGAACTGTGTACCTGAAACCTATATAATTTTATTAACCAATGTCACCCCAATAAATTTAATAAAAAATTTAAAAAAGATATCAAAAAAAGTCCAGAAAGGGGATCCTGGGTGTCAGAAATCTAAGTGGTGAAATACTAGTGGGGAAATTGCACCTTCTTTCTGAATTTTAAGTTTAGGAAGGCTATTGAAGGAAGAAATTCAAGAGCTAATTTGCTGATGAGCCCCCAGACTCACCGTCTTCAACCCTTGTACCCAGGCAGGTTTAAACAGGTGCAAACACTGGCTGTCACTGCCGATGCCTTCTTCTGCCTCTACTCCTATGTGTCTAAGACTCCTGTCCAAAAGTTTACACCATCCCACATGTTCTGGAATTGCAACCCAACTGATGTGCCATCCATCAAGATTCTGTCCCCCGAATCTGACCCTCAGTCACCCAGAGAGCGCCTCCGGAAAGCCATCTCCAAAATGTGCCTGTACACGAGCCCCCGAGTTCGGCTATCACCACCCCATGATTCCCCCAAAAGGAACAGTTTGGACCAAGTGGTGTGGGAAGTGATGGACAGAGTGAGAGGAGAGAAGCTGGTTCTCCAGCAAGACTCTGAGTTTGAGCCAGGCTCACAGGATGATCCTGCACCCCCCATCCATGGTACGATGCTGCCTACCTCTTCTTGTTCATGTGTCCTCTGCCCTAAAGGGGAAACACAGCTGGGGATGTCCACAGCACATGTACCATCACAAACTCTGCACTCTAACCCCAAGACACCCTGTTGCACACATTCCTTGCCCAGAGCAGATCTACAGTGGAACACAGACTCTGCACAGGTAAAGAGAGAGCCGTGGGGTCTACAGGCCACCCATAAAGAGACCCCTTTGGCCACGGACGAGACTTTTTGGAAAAGGAAGAGCAGAGCAAGAAAAAGCCTGTTTCAGAAGAATCCCACAGTCAGGAAAGTTAAATCATTGGACCTGTCCATCATCCAGCAGAAATGGAAGCAGAACCCAGAGAGACCAGAACTGTGCCGATCTCTAACCCAGCAGCTGTGGGACACTTTTGACTTGGATTTGGTGAGTGGATTGGAGGTGAGGGAGAGGCTGGCAGAGAAAGGCTCTAAATTTTTGTCCTTGGGTAAAGGGAATCCAGACTCCCTGTCCTCATCAGATATATTGATTCTTGAATTATATTCAGAAACCTTTGGGAGTGAGTTAATATAAAAGGAGAAAAAGAAATAGGTCTGATTTCCTAAAAGCATCTAGGTTCCCAAAACTGCTTTTCTAATTCCTCATCTGATCTGATCTTGAAGTTTCTCATCAAGCACTCCTGCTCCTATCATTTGTGGGATCCACACAAGAGTAGCGGTCAGTTATACAATAAACTGAACACTATTATTATAAATAAAATAGCTTCTCTTCTACCTTGGCAAACATGTAACCATAAAGACCTGCAAGTCCAGGTTCAAATCTAGAATTCTCAGAGTCTTAGAATTTGTGTACAAGTGTGGACAGAGGCATTTCCCAGCCCCTGGCCTGCCTCCTTCTCTTCCCTGGCCAAAGTCTATCCTGAACCATCAGGGATTTCCTACACAAGTGTGTGAACAGCCCAGCCTGTATATCCAAATGCCTCATCTTCCTACCCACACAAATAAGCCATTCCTTGGTCATCACTCAGGCCCGAGAGTGCATATACTTGTAGAGAAGAGGGCCCTCGAGAGAACAGATACCAGGTAAAACCAGTGCAGTTCACTGAGGCAGGCTTGGAGCCATCTGGGCAGCATATTTGGGATTCCAGGGAACCAGAGCATGGTCTAGAAAGGGTAGCATAAGATCCAGGTGGGCACATCCCCTTGGTCCACTAACTCTTTGTCCCATGGACTCTGAAAGACTCAGGACTCCTCTGGCCTAGGTCTATAGTACTGCTATCAAGTGCAAGGGTCTCTTGGAAAAGCTCTCAAGTCTTTGCCACAAAGAGAAGCTGTTATGATTCAAAATATCATTTGCATATGTATCACCTTTCGCTGAATGTAGAACTGCAACTCAGTCCCTGCTTTCCTCACTGCTGGGTTCCTGCCGCAGAAGAGGCCAAGTCCTTCAAGTACATTCAGCCTCCTTCCCCTACAGCTGCCTGCCATCCTGCACCTTTCCCCACCACTGGCTCTGACTAGTTCTGCTGGGATCTTGGTTACAGGTACAAAGCAAGAGTGAGGAGGAGGAGATGCACCGGGCCAGCAGACCCAGACTCCCTCACCTCTACCAGACTTTTGCTGGCAAAGACTCAAGAAGTAAGTGTCTCTCTCTCTCTCTCTCTCTCCCCCTCTCTCTCTCTCAATCTGGCACTAGTTTTCTGGCACTGGTTCTCAAACCCGGCTGCACATCATAATCACCTGGGAATATTTTATAGTTTTTAAAATGCTCACAATAAAAGGTCCCACATCCTGAAATTCTGATTTAATTGAGCATGAAAGCAAGTAGCTGATTTTTCTTTTTTTTTCCTTTTCCTTCTTTTTTTTTTTTTTTTTTTTTTTTTTGCTCCTAGGGTAATTCTGTTATGGCTGAATAAATAATTCTCTAAAGCAGTGGTTCTCACATGTTAGCATCAGAATCATTTGGAAAAGTTAAAATATGCATGGCTGGGCCCCAACTCCCAGAGTTTCTAATGAAATAGGTCTAGACAGGGCCCGAGAATTTGCATTTCTAACAAGTTCCCAGGTAATGCTGTTGCGGCTGGCCTGACGATCCACAGTCTGATAACCGTTGTTCTAGGGGAAATTCTGTACAACCTTAGTATTCAAAATGTAGTCTGCAGGCCAGCAGCATAACATCACTTGAGATTTTGTTAGAAATTTGGAACCCCAGCCCCTACCCCAGACCCAATCGATGAGTCTTAGTGACTGTATGAAGATTATTAGTGATTGTTTTGCGTATTGAAGTTTAAGAAGCATTGTTGTAGAAGTTTTGTAACAGGTTAGGACAGACAATGGAGATTTATATGCCAGCACGTACTTTTTTTGGTACTTTCTAATCAGCCCACGTCATAGGACTTAGGGAAGACTCCTCAGTGTATCTCACTGTGTTGTCTTTTTAGGCTCTGAGTTCCTTTCTGCAAAGAGAGTTTGATGTATGTAGCTCCCCTTCCCCTCCTCGAAAGACAATTAATCTCACATAAGTAGTTATTTCCATTAAAATGTCTTTCCTTTTGATGTGAATTTTTAGTATTAACTCTTTCAGAGGTAACCCCTATACCTTTGAACATTTTGGCTAAAGATTTATCATTTAAACTAAGTGAAAATTAATCTCCCATAGTTTTTATTACACTTATCCTAGGACCACTGAGAAGACAGCACCAGGGATAATAATTTTTTCCAAGATAGTAGAAGTTGAAACCTTTCTTGAATTAAGTAAATGAATGAAGATTCATCTGGCTTAGAGTTCCCTTTATGTTGCATGTCTTAGTCCTATTTACTGGACTTCCTAGCACAATAGATTTTTGGTTATTATTCCAGAATTTCAGTGTTACTAGTCCATATTAACAAAGATCTTTACAATTTTTACTCTTTTAACCCTAATTCTCTGTGGTTTTAGAGGCCTAATGGCTCTTGTTTCTCTCTTACCCATTACCTTTACTCCAGGTATACAGATTGTTTGTATACAGTTAGTTACTCACAAAAGACGTAAATATCAGAAGGCAGCATTATGTTGTATGTAGTGAAAAGGTTTAAGATATGGAGCCACATGACATGCCTCATACTAATTTTTGCAGAAATCACTTTAGTTTTGTCCTACAAAATAGGAAAATAACACACACACACACACACACACACACACACACACACACACACACACCCCCATCAGGGACAGGCTATGTTCCAAGCCCCACAGTGCATGCCTGAAACCACAGACGGTACTGAACCCTATATACACAATGTTTTTCTAATAACACATACCTATCATAAAGTTTAATTTATAAAGTAGGCACAGTAAGAGGTTAACAACTGATAATAAAATAGAAAAATTATAATAATATTCTATAACAAAAGTTATGGGAATGTGGCATTATTAAGTAAAGTAGGAGTGTCTTGAAGACAAGCTCTGGGGTACCCTGACAGTCGCTCTCATAAATGAGATGCGGCTAAGTGACCCATGGGCAGGGACCGTTTAAAGTGAGGAGACGCTGGATTAGGGGATGATTCACATCCTGAGTGGGACAGAGCAGGACAGTGAGAGAGTTCATCACACTATTTGGAACAGTGTACAATTCAAAACTTATGAGTTGTTTATTCCATAATTTTTCATTTAATATTTCCAACTGCTGTTACCATGAGTAACTGAACCAGTAGAAAGCCAAACTGCAGATAGCATGGGATTACTGTGCAAAATTTTGATCAAGTGTTATTTGTCCAGCAGATGTCAGTCTTGCACAAGAAAAATACCAAGATGTCCAGCAAAGGGCGAGTACAGTACCTATATGGTTGTGCCAGAGAGCAAGTATTTCTAGGAGTTACAGACTTCAAATAAGTTACTAGATTTCATTTTCTGCCATGGCAATGTGATTTCACTACAGCAAGAGAGTTGCTGTTAGAAATGCTGTATTTCACATATTCTAAAGCATATATTTTTCCACATTTTAATCTCTCAAATAGAATGAATCTTAATAATTGTCATTGTCAACCAATTTAATTGTCTAATTTTTTTTTGCTTCCTTAGTGGAATATGAAATAATTATGTCTTACAAATGATGGCTTATAAGATTCAAAGAAACAGTGTAACTTTAGACATTAAATGCACTTAGTCTCTCAGGTAAATGAGGGTGTGATCTCATAGATTTTCCTGTCATGCCTCTCTAGAATGCGAGATCTGTTCTTCATGGACACTGTTTTTGGCTGAGACAGGGATCGCAGCGGTTCCCTAATCTTTCCAAGTCTCTGAGTTTGTTTAATCATCTTTTCACAAAGCTATGAGTTCTCTCTCTCAGTCCACTCTGTTATCCTTTAAGAGATCATAGGAAGTGGAGAATAGCTATGAAAAGAGCTCAGAACTGCCAAGATTAAAGACTGTGTGAGAAATATGGAAGGGGGGAAATGTACTTACCACCATCAGAAGCAGAGATAGGTGGGGCAGTCCCTCAGTTCTACTGAAAAACAGCCCCGATCTGCCTCTTGCAGTCTGTAATTATCTCCAAAAGATTAATTATCTCCTGTATCTTGATACAGGATTTCTGTATCAAGTCCCTGAAGTTAATCTACTACTGATTATCAGACAGGGAGGTGTGTGAGCAGGGGTAAGAAATGGTAGCAGCTCCCAAGCAGCTACTGTGTCCAGTTTGTATAGTCCTCACAATGCACACAGACACCCACGTAAAAAGGTAACTTTGGGTTCAGATCCAGCTCTATGGAGCTTACCACCAAAAATCTCAAAGGTCTTCATCTTCTAAGGCAGAGTTCCTTTTTTTCTTCTAATTCATTTACATAAAGTGAGTGCTTTTCTGTAATTAGCACAAAGGCACCTTTTCTGTTAAAAGAGAATCTGGTCCCAGCTATCAGCTCTCTTCCCTCCCACTCTTATCTTTTAGCCTCTACCAGAGAAGAAGTCTTACTCTTCCTCCAAGTTCCTGGGAAAGGATGAGCCTCATCATTCTTCATCATTTGCACCATGCTCAAGAATCTCAAATTCACAGCCCTTTTATTGGTGCCCTATTGCTGAAATGTAAACTGTTTGATCTTTACCCCATTATAAAAGGCAGGGGCTGAGGAGGTTTTTAATCTTTGTTGTTTGTTTCTTTTACCAGATCTGAGGTAGCAGAGATCAACAGATATTCTGTTTGCGAAGTGATCATATATGAGATGGAAGGTTTCATTTTATAGTCAACTCTTCCGGTGGCCATGAGAGAAGAGACAGGAAGGGTTAGGTGGGGAGGCTTGTGCAGAGCATAGGATAAAGAAGGAAACTAGTGTGACATAATCCCACAGGGGCTTACTCAAAGTGCTACTTGTTTGAACTTGGTGGAACCGATGTGGGCTGGGTAGCTACAGACTTGCTCTTTGATGTAAGATTTTTCCATATGATAGTATTAACAATAACAAATACCCACAGGGATCACTACATTTCAGACACTACTATCTTTAGTACTTTGGGGGAATTAAATCATTTAATCTTATGATGTATGTTTTTATTGTTTCCCATTCTATTCATGACGACACTGGGCAGTTATTTTTATACCAAAATAAATTCTGAAGAGGAACTACTAGATAGGAAGTACAAGGAGAGATGGGAAAAAAGAGGGGGGAAGGAAAGAGGACATCGTAAGAATGTGACAGTTATTTTTCTGCCTTATTTATAATTCTTTCCAACATTGTTGTGTGCCTACCGGGGAAATATAATTTAAACCAAAATCTTCTTCCACACCAGAAAAACCTCTCCAAAAAGGTCTAAGAGAAAGGAAACAGTTTTCTTTTTAAATAAGCAGTAAACCAGAATATGATGTGCATCACAGGCAATCCAGGAACACAATTGTGAAGACAGAAAGAAATCTCACCTTTTATATAGCCAAGCAAATACGACCTATTACATACGTGTCAAAATAAACAACAACCAGTCCTCACATAAGAGAACTTGACAGCACCATTTGTCACTCGTGGCTCATCCTAGATTTACATGGTTAGCAGAGTGGCCAACTGTGTTAGCTAATGGCCTTTATCCAAAGGAATAATAAAATTTCTCCTATCTTTATGGCAGAAGATAGTTTTGTAAGTTGGAGCCAGGCGCCTAAGTTCTGCTCCTGCCCTCCCATGAAGAGTGGGAGATAGGGTCACTATAGTCCTTGATTATTACATTTCAAAGCAAGAGCTTCCTTTGAGAAAAACACTTCTGAGTTATGAAGGTGACAAGAGGCTTAGTTAGCCTTTTTTAAAGATTTACATACAAATTTAGAACTTGCAGCTTTTCTAAAGAAACACACTTTAAGAAGAGGTTGGGGGGGAAGAAGCTTTTTCACAACAAGAAAAATTAAGCTTATTTTTAATTTGTATTTTCCGGTTCATGGCTGTGTATCTTCTTCCCCACGCCAGCCCCAGTCCGCCACGCCACCTTGGCCTTCCCTTTCTCTGTGCAGACCCGCTCTTTATAACTGTGGAGAGCAGAAGGGTAATCTCTGTCTGCCTCACAGAATGCTTATTTTCTGAGTTATTGATTTCAGATGTTTCAATGGATTACCAAGGCCACATCTAAGGTTGCTGGCTGCCGAGCCACACAACTGCAGGTCACCATTCACGCAGACGGCAGTGTAGACATTGCTCCTGGAGATGTCCAGAGCTTAGGCCCCGGCTCCATCCATACCACCTTACCCAGCCCTTCCGGTAGAAAGTACCTCCAGTGAGTATACAGCACTTTCATAGATATTATCTCATGCAAGTCTTATAATCATATAGACTATTTGAGAAGAAAAATGACTTACCAAGCTCATGTAGCTAGTTAGTTAATCTCAGAATCAGAACCAATGCTCTTTTCATGAGATCACACTGCCCTGAGCGCAGGAGTGCAGGCTGCGGCCGGGGGTCAGAGCAAGCCCCGCTTTCTGTGCTTGGATTTGCCCCAACCCTCTGAGCTTTGTCACCACGGATTTTGCTTGCCTTCTTATAAAATCACAGGCAGAGGATGTTATACAGATCAAAGAAGAACACTCACAAGACACTTGTAGCTCATAGTTTAGTGAAAGGCATGACAGAAAATTCAACACTTTGATTTAATTTCACCAGATGTCATGGGGACATAAAAAATGAACCTCCCAAAGGAGGTCATTCATATCCAGGTAACTCTGGACAGAAGAGTAAAAGAAGTGAATGGAAGTGTAAGAAGCATGATATTGCTGTCCTAGTTAGAGAAATAATATGTTCAAAGGCAGAGAAGACTGGAAAAATCACAAAATCTTCAGAAAATCTTCAAGATCTTCTATGCCTGTGCCTAGTGGGAGGAAGGGGATATGTGAGAGAAGATAAAAATTAAGACTAGGAAAGATTTATAGAAATCAAATTATGAAGTAAAGTCTTCTATGTTATTTTAAGTATTTTGATTTAGTCCAGGGAGATAGGGAGCGACTTAAAATTTTACAACAAAATGATCTGATTCTATTTATCTTTTAGCTCGTTCTGGCAGAGGTATGAGAAATAATAGATTAGGGAGCCAATGGAGGAAGGGAAATCATTCAAGAGTCCATCACAGAAGACTGAGGACAAATGCGATGGCCAGAAATAAGATGAGAATACTGGGAATGGAGGGGAAGAAGGGTGGCATTTTGAGAAGTTTAATATATACAATAGCTAAATCCAGAACCAATGGACTCATATTTAAGAGGTGAGCGGTGAAGAAAAGAAACAGCACATTTCCAGGTTTTTTTCTTGGGTGACTAAATGAATATTAATGTCCTTTTATTAAGAACAGAATACAGTAGTAACAAGTTGGAAGGCAAATATTTTAAAGTATAATTTTCAAAAATCAAAATAATGGCTCTCATGAAAATATAAGATAAACATGTTCAAAGATTTTATTTATTAATAAGGTTAATAGTAATATGTTTGAACTGGTCCAAAGAATACTTGAGAAGCTAGTTATAAACAGACAAACTAATACATTGCCCGGTTACCTACAAAGCTGGTTCATTTTCAACAATACCATAAATTAATCTCTGGAAATACTGATCACACTGGAAAGAAATTATTTGGATTTCTGTTCAACATAAATCTTCAAGGCAACCTCTTCCCCTACAGAATAGTAAAATGGCCATGTAAATAGAAACTCAAAACTAACCCTGTACCAAAAGCATATATATTTGCTGAAGGGAAAGAAACAATAGGGTGGGAGAGACTATGGTTCAGGAAGAAAGGGAGAATGATGAACTGAAGTCACTGGAGAAATAGAATGAGTTGAGATCCAAAGCACTTTAGGGTGAGTTAGCCATGAACTAGAGGTGCAGATTTTTATCTGAGATTACAGGAAAGGAAAAAGGACAGGTGTGGATACAGTTGCATTGGTCCTTTCAAGAGGGAGCCAGGAAATTGCCACCTGTTAGTTTCTTTTTCCTGTTTGTCTCATCACTAAAAGTATGATGCAGGACATTTCAGCAAGATAGTAAAGATAGTCACTATGGAGAAAGGACAAGAGAAATATGTGTTAATAGGAACATGTACTAACAGGTGAATAAGTGAATAACGTTGGCGCTCAGCTCAAGGTGAAGAACATGGGTTGGCAATGATTTTGCTATTTTCCACAACAGTGCTCAGCAATATACATCAAAGAATAAGAACAAAGTATAAATGTACTTTTATAAGTATAAAAAATAAGATGTGAATGCTCCCAGAACTCTCACTTTATGGTGAGAAAATCAGAAAGCCTGTCATATGATGCTGCTGCTGCTACTAATAACTTTAAACATTTAAATAATTTTAAATATAATAGTGAGAAACATTTCCACAGGTGGGGTATGAAAGTTTCTACCAATGTCAGTACCCAAAAATTGTCTCAAAAACACATGATGTGTTTCCTTTTCCTTCCCATTGCAGGCTTTCTCCACCACCACAGCAGCACATGCTCTGACAGCAGTGGCTTCATAGAAGAGCCTAATTCCCACCCCTTCTTGCAGGAGGTGGCACTGCCTCCAACATCCCCCTCCTGCTCCCAGGCCCCGCAGATTCCTGAACTCAGCAGCAGAAAGGCAGCATGGTTCATGGAAAAGAAGACCAGGGTGAGAGACTTGGAATCTACGTCCTGATGCTTTCGTACACTGCATGCACAGAGAAAGACGTTAGACGCGTCCCTTCCTTTCTCTGCACATTGGTTTCTCTGCGGTGTGGGTATTAGAATACATGCTATATAGACAGTGATAAACTAGATAAAGACTTAATTTTCTCCCAAGCTTTGACACTGCCTAAGACAGAGGATTTAAGAATGATGAAGTTTGAAAAACAAAGCTTGTTACTGGAATGTTCTCAAAGGGCTCAGGCTAAGTGAGGCAGGAAAAATCCCACTGTGAGGCTCTGAAACCCTGGTGCAACCTGCGGTGGGATTTCCTCTGAGCCTCTACTCATCCTTACCTGCTCCCAATCAAATTCCAGAATGTCTTCCATTCTGGAAGCCTCTCCCTTAAAACCAGCTTCTCCCTCTATCCCAAATTTTGTATTTTCATAGGAAAAGAGATGACTGGGATTCAGAGTCCCTCTTCTTGGCCATTGAAAAAAATTTACAATATTTTCTGCTGGCAGAAAACAATACAAATAAAAATATTTCAAAACCTTGCAATGTTTTTAGAGGTTTGTGTTGAATGGAAAATGTTTTGTCCACAAGCAGGGCTTGAGCACCTACAGTACTCTACCAGGCAGTATGTGGGACAGACATCCAATAGATACATTGCTCCACCAAGAAAAATTTAGTACAGTGGGAGAGGTCTCTCTCTCCCTCCCTCCCTGCCCTCCCCGCTCCACACTTCCAGTAATGTATTACTTGGTTGACTCATAAGTTGCAAGGCAGCACAGACTAGAAGAGAGGGATTTGAGGGAAATCGTAACCACGATGAGTGTTAAATTAAAAACAACAACAACAAAAACAGATACCATGAGCTGACAGAGGTTGATTTTATTCTGATACTATTGCCAGCAATAGGGGAGAAAGCATAGATGAAATCTGGGTGGAAACAACAGGCTGTGGGTTTTTAAGAACTGGGCTGGGGGAACCGTAGACACCTGTGTTTGGTAATTGGCCTTACCCAAAGGAAAAAGTAAACTTTCTGGGGTCTTCATGAAAGGAGGCAGTTTTACAACTTGGAGCCAGGGCCTCCCCAGCCCCAGCACTGAAGTTAGGCTCCTACCCTTCCATAGAAACTGGGAGATAGGGCACTGTTTTCCTTCATGTTTACCTTATAGAGACAGGGTTCTCTGGTCCAACCGGAATGTGGCAGGGAGAAGATTTACATCTCAAAGGGACAAAGAAAAGATTTATTAAAAAATTCTCTAAAAGGTCAGGGGCTAGTGTCAAGAAAAAGCCTGTCCGAACTTCCGTCAAGCCGAGGGAACGTTAAAGCCATCTTGGTCAGGAGAGGGAACAGAAGGACTGCGACTTTTTTCATTTAAAGAGCCCAAGAGACTCTCAACACATCCGGCCCCATCTCGTGGAGGAAATGGGTTGGGGCTGCAGAATGAGGCGATCCCTACATTCAGCTTCGCCAGAAGCTAATAGATACAGGAATGAATGACTGTCTAAGGAGGGCGTCTGGCGGGAGGTGGGAACAGCATTCTGGAGGCAGGGTATCGTCCAAATAGCTTTCTTTGCTCCCTTCCTCCGCGCGCACAGCCTGTGAGGAGGAACTGATGGGCTAGCATAGGCAATACCAGGGAGGGAGAAAAAGGCACGTGGCATTCATCCTCCACAGCCCCTCCCAGGCAGATTCTGAAGAGCTCTGACGCCGAATCTGAAGCATTTGAAGAAGGTTCTATTATTAGCCCTGGAACAAAAGCTTCCCAGCTCCTTTCTCCAACACGTGCGTGGGCTCGGCCTCCCCGCAAGGAGAGCCAGGCTCCTCTGCCAGCTTCCCAGCCACACACTGTCCGCCCGTGACTGAGGCGTGTGAGACGGAGCTCCCGGCAGGTCGGCAGGTCGGCGCAGGACAACAGATAACAGTCCCCAGGCCAGACGGCAGTGTCTGCCTCTCTGGTCCGTGGGTGGGGGAGGGGCATGGCAGAACGTGCCACGTTTAGGAAACACGGATCAGACGCGTGGCAATGCAGTGCTCACTAAGTGCAGCGCAGCCGCTGCAGTCCTCATAAAGCTCCAAGATTCCAGCTCTTCTGTTCTTTCCAAGACAAGCCACCTCCCATCGGGACAACCGAGTTCCCTGTGAGCCCAGCAGGGAAGGGGTAAATACCTTCATTCCTATTGGGAAATCCGAGGCCTGAAAATCCCAGAATATCTACAGCCTGAAAGGACTAGCCCAGTGGTCTGATTGTAAAGAAAAAAAAAAGGCCCAGAGAAAGGAAATAAATGTGACCAAAATCATATGCCAGCAGCCAGAGCAAGGGGTCAGGTCCCCCAGCCTGGGTGGGAGACTTTTTTCTATTAGATCCCTTCTCTTGTTGTCAAAGCATTTCCACACACAGTCCTCCTGCACCAACACCCTTTCAGTGCTGACTTATCTCTGCCACAACTACTCTTACCTATTCCATCCACCCCAATGCTGTTCTGGGTTATTTGGGAAGCTCTGTTTAAAGGAAGAGCAGCCGATTGGAGGCAGGGCACCCACAGGAAACAGGCTGGAGCTCATACTTGCGGCCTCACAGGGCAAAGTGACAGGTGTTCATATATAAACCAGAGTTCCCAAGTGAATACTAAGAGGCTGGGGAAAGGCAGGCTCATTACAGGGAGCTGGTTCAAAGGAAAGCAATGCGGGTAGAGAAGGCTGTAGGAGATGGCTCTTCTGACTTCAGAAAGGCCTCTGGAGGCTGTTGTGGAAGGCAGCAGCTGGGGACCTATTGGAACAGGGATGAAGGGATCTCGGTAAGGAGGTGTTTGCAGGCTTCCAGAGTTGGGTGGGAGTTAACCCTTCCCTGGTATCTGGTTCTAGTTAGATTCACAGCTGAAGAGTTTAGTGAGGATTGAACACTAAACCTTGGGGGCCCTAAATTCATGGAAACAAATATATTTACCTGAATCATTCACTAGCCAACTGTGTGATTTAGGTAAGGTGTTTAACCTCTCTAAGTTTTCAAACATAAAGATACAAAAATACCTGTCCTGCCTAGTATATTCATTTGGACCACATAAAATAATGGCATAAAAGTACTTTTTAATACAGTGATGTTTATTTAGGAATATTTCAAACACACAGAAAGCCCTGACTGACAGCATCAGTTCTTCAGTAAAGCAAGGAGGTAGGACTAGAATCCCACTCACCAATATGAGATCTTCGGCATATCACTCAATTTTTCTGTGCCTCAGATTCTTAATCAATAAACTGGAAAGTGTCAAAGTAAAAATTGCACCAAAGTTAAGCAGGCAAGAAAGACTTTATACCTGGCTATTCCAGGAGGGGAGAGAGGTCAGGATTAAGTTTGAAGTCATCTCTGCTGAAGCAAGAGTGATAGAGTTTTTAAGAGCTGGAATAAAATAATGGAAAGGTCCGGATGACCTTAGGAGAGGTCATAGGCCATGCCTGTATTTGCTAATTGGCTTTATCCAAAGGAAAAATCTCTCTCATATCTTTATTACAGGAGATAGTTCTACAACTTGGAACTAGGCATATTCAGATGTTAAATTCCTACCCTCCCAAAGAATGTGGGAGATAAAAGCTTTAATCTTTGAGGATTACATTTTACAGAGATGGTTCCCTGTCTTTAAGAGAGACATCCTAGAGTTGTAAAACTGGCAAGAGTGGGGGAGAGAGGGAGGTAGGTATACATCTCAAAGGGGCAGAGGAAGAATTTACAATGGCAAGTTTCCTAAAGTAAATGCTCTATGAAAATGGAGGTCAAGGGACTAGAGTCAGAAAGAAGCCTAACAAAAGTTACTGAAGGGGATATTAAGGCCATCTTGTTCAATAATAATAATGAGATAGGAGATAGTCAGGAAGGAGGAAACTCCAGAGGTGCCCCAGGGCTAAGATAAAGAACAATGATAAAGGACAAAGCCCCTGCTCCAAGACTGGTAGTCCCTGTTTTCTGGAAAAACACTGAATCCAAGTGAATCAGGAATGCACCTGCGCAGAAGATGCCACCTGACCCCTGCTTCATTATAACAGCATTATAATAAATTAGCATTGCAGGACCCCCTTCCCCGTGACCCATCAAGTAAATCATGGGAGACCACAGGCACAGTAACTTTAATATAACTACTTGTACGTGCACAGTAAAAGCCCACCCAAAAAGAATAAAAGCCCTCTAGCCTTGAGGTCAGGCTCTCTCTTGCTCTGCTCTGCTCTGCTCTGCTCTACTTGGAGATGGCCTGCTCCCATGTTCTGTGTAGCTTAATAAATCTGCTTTCTCTCACTTTCTGCTACACACTCTGTGTGTTCGGTTCAATTTTTTGTCCACGATCACCAAGAACCTGGTTACCTGTGCACTCCTGTGACTATAATATTCACTTCATGAGCTTGTTGTGAGCCCTGAATGAATTCTTCTACAAAAAGAGCAGAAAAGAGTGTCTTGCACTTATTAATAACTAGAAAAGGGTTTAAAATTATGAATGTCATAAATGATGTCTCAGATTTCTTCCATTTCTGAGGTTCATTAATTCTTTAATGCAGGAAAACAACATTCTCTTGTGAAACCATGATAAATGTCAATTACCTAGGCATCAGTTTGTATTTAGGCAGTTTTCCGAGGTGAACTTTCCACCTCCAGCCACCTTCCTGCCCTTGCTCAGCGCATATTCTGCTGACTGTTCTAAAACATACACAGTCCCTAAGGCCTGAGGAAACATAAACTGACTTCATAGTCTTTATAAGCCAAACCAAATTAGTTACACGAAACTTCTAGGGGTGAAGGCTGACATTGGGTGCTTTTTGAGGTCTAATCCAAAATGACCTGTATTACCTGCTGATTGGCATGAGCAGTTCCCCTATACCCACCTCTTTGTCAGTATAAAGATGGGGGTTAAAAGTATAAAGGTGGCCAGGGAAGACACCTCTGCTTGATACATCTTTCCTCAGTCCTGTCTTCCTGTGGCATGTTTCCCTTTAGGGCTACTACAGAAGCCGTAAGCTTGGATGGCAAAAAACTCCAGACA